AAAGAATAAATTAACAACGACAGCAAAGAGGCCACTTCATGATTGTTAGAATAAATTAATTTGATGGGTCTCTCGCTTTTTTTTTCTCTGTTGACAAAGAATAGTGGCGTCTTATTACGCCATTTCCGTTCCGTTATGAATCGATCAAATACATTACTCAATGCCAGAAGAAGAAACTAATTTGCGTGACATTTTTTCTTTTCTCATGGCGTCTCCAATTCGATTTTTTAGATCTGTCATCATCATAATCAAACAACCGATAAGATAAAAACAAAAGGAAACAAGTTTTCCTCTTCCTCAATAGTATCAAGAATGAAAAAAAAAAAACCTACACTTTAAAAGCAGGCGACGAAAGGATTAGGTCATTTTTAAGATTGATTATTCAACTACTTGAATGATTAATTATAATGCATTATTTTTTCCTGCCATATTTCATACCGATATTTCCGGATTCTTCTCTTTTTTTCTTTTTTTTGAATTTTAAACTTAATACTACATCCTATTACTTGAAAAGTATATGCGATTGTGATTCTAATCCATATGAGATCTGATTATCGGACAAAATGTACATATATAGTTCATGATGTGCAATGATGGAATAATTTATTTTGTTCTCCTTTTTCTTTTTATATATGTATATAGAATTCCCTTGTTCTTCTCTATATGTGTCGAAGTTCAAAAAATAAATAGACCGAAGAATGATGAACGCCAACGAACGAGAGCAAGAGGCGAGACAGAGAGAACAGAAGAGAAGAGAAGAGAAGAGAAAAAAGAAATCATTGAGTGAGTAGACAAATGCATTCACCATCGTCTCACACTTTGGAAAAATCGCGATCGATATACATTGTGCAGTAGCTAATTTAGAACTTTTGATCTTTATCAAAACATATCTCTACAAAAGACATTCAAATTAAAATATGATTTTATTCATCGTGAAAATTCTTTTTCTTCATATGATTTTCTCAAGAACACAAGATATAACTAATATTCGATATGATTCTTTACTATCAGCTCAATGTAAAGCTCGATGTTTATATGAATATCGAAATCAATATCAACAACAGCAACGAACATTACCATCAATATTCATTAATCGAAAAACAAAACGACTATTGGTAAATTTAAAATTAGTTGTTTTTTTTTTCTTTTTATCTTGTTCAATCAGCCTAAAGGTGTTTACATTCACTTTGTAAATTAATCCGTTTGACAAACAAAAAACTAAATTTGATTTGTTTGAGTTCATACAAGAGAAAACAAAACTAAGGTGTCATACAATACAGGTGCTTCCGATTCTCATTTATTCTAGACAATGTTTTTTGTTATCTTTTCTATAGAACAAATGAGGTGTCTATATAGTCATTTAATACAATGACAAAATATGTTTTTACATTTGCTTTTCATTTTAATGATATTGATTTTAAAATAATGATGATTCTTCTCTTGTTTTTAGACGACAAATGTATTGAGATTACCATGGCGATCTATCTGGGAGCGTTGTCCACGCCTCATCACATGTAGTTCGGTAAGTAAATTGACCGTATGTGGGAGAGAGATAGAGAAAGAGGAGGAGAAGGAGGAGGTAAGGGGCTAGATTGTCTCGTATGATAACCAATGTATATGTATGCAGGCACAACTAGTGAGTGTCCAATGTCTACATAATTCAATTAGAAAGATTCTTACTGATCGACAAACCATTGATTATTGACCAGTTGGAAATCAGATCATTCTTTCTCATTAATATGTTAACAAGCTCATTTCTTCTCTTATTCTTTAGTGTCTTCTCCCATGTGACTTAGATCCGCCACTTCTTTTATCCGATAAACAAAATTGTCAAGCAATCTGTTCTACAGTAAGTTATTTTTACATCTTATTTTTCAAGTCTGACCTTCATATCTGTTGAAATCATTATATCAATATGAAATTCATTCTGATGAATGACTTATACTGATAATAAATACATGTTTATTTGTAAAAGAAATGAATAGAATGCTAGTAGTTCTTTTTTTCTTTTATCTTCTAGTTATTAAAAATTGTTGAATGTGAGCAAAGTTGTATATTTATTCAAAATCTTTATCAACAACATGCAAATTGTTTGACAGGTAATTGTCACTTATGTTCATCGTCAAATGATTGTTCGAGTAAGTTTGAATTGATTTATTTCATCATTAAAATTAATGATTTAACACATTAGAAAAAATTCCTCAGCCATATAATGTTACAGCTATAGAAAGAAAAAGTCGACGAACAGTTCGATTAAAATGGAATTCTCATCATATGATAAATATGGAACCAATTTTTTATGTTATTGAAGCTCAATGGATATTACCACAAAGTGATATTAATCAATATGAACTTGTTTCAAAATGGGGTTTTGTTAAAGAAGAAGTTTCACATACAAAAGCAATTATAAGAAATATTCAACGTGATAATCGATGGTATAAATTTCGTGTTGCTGCTGTTACAAGACATGGACATTCATTATTTTCAATAACAACGAAACCTTTTCGTCTAAGTAAGATTAGTAGGAAAAGAGAATGTTTGAAAACTTATTTTTTTAATTTTATTCATTCTAGCAAATCAATCTCATACATTATCAACAATTATAGATCCACCTAGAAATTTTTCAATAAAAGGTTATCAATTAAATTCAAATACTATGAATATTACTCTTATTTGGCAAAAACCAGATTTTCCAGTCCATGGATATCAGGTGTGGTAAAATAATTTCTTTACTAATTGAATCTAAATATCTTTGCATTTTTCAAAAATTGAAATTGTTAGTTATGTATAACACATAGACATAAGAGATGCTATTTATGTTTTAATCTCACAATACGAAAGTAAATCAATTATATACTTGATAGTATTCGATACAAACTAAACACAAATAAAATGATAGCCTCTTTTTTGTAATTTGCGGATGTTTTTTTTCTTCATAAAACGACACAATTTTTTTTATTGATATTTCCTTTTCTTTTTTATTTATCAGATCTCTTGGAAATCAGAGAATGATCAATCATCACTTGTAAATAGTATTGATATATCATCATCATTATCTTCATTGGAATTTACCATTCCATTTCTTTCTATAGACAATTCCTATCTATTTAAAGTATGTACTCATTCTGTCTGACAAAGTCAAGTATTCACTTATTATTTCCTTATATAGATTCGTTCAATAATCATATCCGAAGGCAATCATATTCAAATGAGTTTACCAATAATAATACATTTTAATTCTGAAGAAGAATTTTTTCCAATAAAAAATCTTCATATATCAAAACCATATTTTATTAATGGATTCATTAAAACAAATATATCATGGACAAAAAATACTGATTCAAGAATAAAACAATATGATATATATTGGAGTGAAAATCAATGTTATTCAGAAATTTTTTCATGTTGTTATAGACGTGATGCTGTTACAATACAAAATTATTTTCAATTATATGATTTACGTTTTAATTGTACATATTTAGTTAATATAAATGCAATTGGATCAAAAAGAAAAAAATCTTTTCAATTTTTTTTTAATGTTAGTTCATGTGAATTAACAGATGTTTATGGTACAATTCGTCCACCATGTCATACAGATCGAAAGACAAGTATAATTTTTAATATTTTACTTAAATCGATCATTTTCTTTAAATCTTTTTTTTTTTCAAGTTGATATCTTTTCATCATTACCGCCACTCGATCTTATTGTTAGAAGAAATGGATCAGGTTTTAATTTGTTTTGGCAAAATATTCATTCAACCGGTAAAGAATCTTTTTCTTCCTTTTTGTGTAAATCAATTAACCATCATTTATATTTGATTCATTAGTTAATAATGTGTTCTATCGATTGCATATTGAAAAATTACCACATCATGTCGAAATTGTTTCGGTTGAATTTCCTCATGTAAGATTTCTTTTTTCTTTTTCTTTTATAGATGAAGATTAAATCGATTTTTTTTATTTAGACAATTACGAATTACTTTATACCTTATTCAAAAGACGAAAATGATCAATATCTTAATGTAACATTAAGTTTAATTGATAGAATGTCTATACGACAGCAACAATCGATATTAATTAATGATAAAAAAGAAGAATACTTTTATTCACAATATAATATAAGTTCATCATCAGAGATTATTCATTGCAGATATTTTCTTGTATTCATTTGGTTAACTTCGATAATGATTATAAAATAAGAACAAATGCGAAGCACAAATGTCTATTGACCGTCCGTATTCTAGTGCATCGCAGTACCCGGTTCTTGTTTTAATCATAAACCAAAGTTCATGACCAGTTTTTTTTCTGTAATTTCCATTGTCATTTGTAGGATTGTTTTTTTTTTTTATAGAAATATATATTTATTTTTTTTTGCATACCTTGAATTTATTGTTATATGATTGAAAACAGATTGCCATTTTAATTTAGCCATCTGATTTTATTTGATATAGAAAAGTCTAAAAGTATTGTCTACCTTTGCGTAGAATTTTTTTGTTCAATTTTGAATGCATATAAAATCTATTATATGATAACAATAAATATATATATATTACCTGTTTGTTCATCAATAAATGAAGCGAGAAATCGATCTCGTACATTCGATCAATAGTGATCAATCAATAGAACTAATATTTATTTTGTAAAATAGAAACGGGAAGTATAAAATGATCGAATTACTAAATGCAAAAATCAAATTAATGTTCTACTCATTGCAACTAATAGGTGACTATGTATAAAAAAAACATATATTTTCTCTTTCTATCTCTATATCAACAAGCGATGCATACAGCGTGATTGTTCATTAGTCAAATGATGGTCTTCTCTTTCATTATTTGTATTCATGTATTATAAACGATAGCACAGAAAATTGGTTGTTCAATAGAAGAATGTTGACAAATATATTTTCCATCTTTTGTTTAAAAACGAACTGTATTGTACCAATTTCATTTTTTATAATTGTACCAAATGAAACATGATCGATAATATTGTTTTTCAAGGAAGACATAAAAGCCGGCCAATAGTGTATTCTTAAAAAAATAGTCCATCGATAGGTCACTCATCTAATTACATTGAATAAATTTTAAACATATGAATGAGCAAAGATATTTCGAGTATTAATAGTTGATGTATAAACAAATATTCGGTAACGTATTTGACAGATTACACAATGTTCAATGCTCTCAAATTTACGAATATTTTTTTTTTATTTTTAACAACAGCATATGTCAATGATTGTTTTTTGACAGAAGTCTGATCCATTCGAATATGTACATTTTTGTGTGTAATCATGAACCAGCACTAGTAGTTGAAGACAAAGAGTGAACAACAATTAATGATTGACAAGGTGGTTCAATAGGAGTATAATTCAAGTTCGAAAATATAATTGTTAATGAATTAGGAGAACTAGGCAAGAGAGTTTTCTGCAATATGAAGCAAGTTCTTTTAAGGTGACAATCATTTTATCTTGTTTTTGTTTTACTTTATATATTTGCTGTTCATTGCAGAAAAATTTTAGTTAATTAAAGAATTATGTGGATTTTTCAAACAAACTTTGTGTAGATACGCCACTTCATTGGATAATTTTATATCATATTCAAGATTTGGCCCATGGGTTGAGCTGAACCAAGATCGACTCTATTTTATATAACAATTTTCATATAAGAAAAAGTTCATTCGATTTTTTCATTATTCGTTTATTATATTGAGAACATGCAACGCAAGTTAAACGATTAATGTTTCTTTATCATCAGACTCATATATTCATAGAAAAATAAAAGAGATAAAAAATTTATATTCATTTACAAAAGATCCAGAAATAAATTCATTATAATATTTGCAAAATTTTTGATCAACGACAGAAGTCTTCTAATCGATAAATCACTTTTGGCTCGACACTATGTGTCCCATGTAGACCTACATGAGCTATGAATACTTTGAAAAGAATTCATGTTCTTAAGTTATTGCTGTTGATATACTGCATTTTTACGATCTTACTTAAATGAATGCAGTAGTAGAGAAAAACTGATTTTCGAATTTCGTAGTGAAACTTTGCATTGACACAGAGTTTAATAAGACTAACTTATTTTGACTATTTCAGGTCTTTGGATTTGCTTCTATTCTGAAATAAGAACATCAAATCTGTCGATTTTTATGAATGATGTAAAAGATATTCTAGTATCATTGTTGTATCTTAGAATAGAAAGAGTGACAATATCTATAATATTCACATAAAACTGTTGTCGTTCAGATCTGTCTCTATGCAAAGTCTCAAATCGAAATTCGGAAATCATTTTTTTCTGGCGCATAAACAGTTGACGATGTTTCACTAATAGTTTGCTGTGAAAAAATAGATGATTTCCCTGTTTTTTTGTCATATTGAAATTCTATGCAACATATGATTTGGGTGCAATTTTTTATAACAAGTTTCAAAAAAGTATATTGATTCAATACGATTATTTCTTGATTAATCTGTTTTGATAGAGTAAGATTTACAAAAGAAAAAGTCATCAGTGAATATTTTATCTCAACTAGGACAATTAAAACCATATGGATGATAAAATTGATGTTCATTTGCTATTATTGTATTTTAAGTTTTTTTCATTACGTTCCGAGCATGTTGTCAAAGTATCATTGGATATAGTTTATTCTAATATAGTCGTTGAATTTTGTGTTTTTATTATTGAATTAATTCGATTATAATTTGTATTTTAAATAAAAGATCACAGAGAAGGAAGATTCACATACGAAGAATATATTTGTTTATATGATTAATGCATAAAAGTTAAGATTTTAGTTCCAGAAAACTTTCTACCATTATAGATGTTTCATTATGCTGTCTATCAAGATAAGAGCAATCTGGAAAATATACATTTATAGCACTGACATCTATAACCATTTACGCACCACAAAAACAAGAATAATCTCTGTCAGTTTTACTTTGTGATTCCGAAAAATTGAGATCTGAGGATTTCAATATAAAAGCAAAACAACATTTCACAAGTGTATCCTCAAGATTGTTGTCAGATAACCCTAACATATTTGTAATGCTTGAAAGTTTTGCATGATCATATGAAATATATAAACCTTTGTATTGAGATTTTACTTTTTATTCTTTAATATTATCGAAATTCTAAACCAACAATAAAAAAAGAAGCTTAATAGATATAATATGCAAGTAAAAAGAGAGAAATAGTCTTTCAATGAATGTTCATTCTGTTATTTATATTGATTTAGTTGTTGCTTTGTCTTTAACAGCATTTCTGAGCACACTAAGCGATGGTTGAAACACTTCGATATGAATTTGAGATGTTGGATGTTTACATTCAGCTAGATAGTCTTCTATTGCATTCATAAATGGCACTGAACCACATATATATACGTGTGTATCCGGTGTTAAAAATTTTTGTAAATCATCTTTTCCTAATATTTCACCTTGACACAATAAAAGATATTGATTTTCGGAAAGAATCGATTTCAATTCATCAGAAAAAGCTGCATGTTCTTTTGTTGATGTACAATGAATTAATTTTGTAGAATTTAATTTATTTTGTTTATGTAATTCCAAAATCATTGATGAAAGAACAGTTATACCAATTCCACCAGCAACAAACAAGTGATGTTTAGCATCTTCAATTAATGCAAATGTACCAGCTGGAAAACTTGTTAAAATTGTATCACCTTCTTTATAATTATCAATAATTTCATTAGAAACAACACCTTTTGGTTCATGATCAACTTCATCTTTAATAGCAATATGATAAGTTTTACCATCGAATGGTTCAAGAAGACTATAATGTCTATTATGAAATGTATCATTTTTTTTAATACGAAGTGTAATATATTGTCCGGGATGATACTGATGCATTTTTCCACCATCACGACGTTCTAATGTAAGAGCAACAATAGGTCCACTTGCAATATTTTCTTTTTTGACAATTGTCAATGGAACAAAACCTTTATCTCGTTCGTCCGGACCAAGTTCATCATATAATTTTTGTTCTAAATCAATGAAGATTTTGGCAATAATACCATAAGCAGCAGCCCATGCATCTAAAATTTCTTGTGTTGCTTTTTCACCTAAAAATTCTTTTATTGCAAAAAGTAAATATTTGCCCACAATAGGATAATGTTCTGGTAAAACAGTTAAAGCCCGATGTTTATGAGCAATAAGTTGAACTTGTGGTATAAGTACATCCAAATGATCAATATATTCAGCAGCAAAATAAATTGTATTAGCTAATGCTAATGGTTGTGTACCAACCTTTTGATTAGTTTGATTGAATAAGTTTAATAATTCTGGATGAGCTTCAAACATATGTTTATAAAAAATTGAAGTTATTTCTTTGCCATTTTCTTTCAAGATTGGTGCTGTTGATTTTACAATATTTTTTTGTTCTTCTGTTATAGACATTTTAGAAATCTAAATATCAAATATAAAAAAATCATCAATTATTATCTCAAATATTTCATATGAGATTAATGGAAGTAGAACAGAAAATTGAAAGAGTCTTGCTCAGAGTCTCAAAATATTTAGATGTTTACTATATATGGGAATTTTTTTACACAATTATTAGTGCACAAGGAGAACTCTAAAAAGTTTTTCGCCTGGCTCTTCTAAAAGTCTTCATTTAAGTTTAAGCATTCTACCATAATGCTTAGACATATTTAGGATGTGTAAGCAAAGTCTCAGTCTTTTAGCTCTTCTGTATCGTTGCATTTTTCTATTCCTTTCAAACTACTCATATATCAACGTCAACTTGTCTTATGAGATCTTATGAGAACAATTTTGAAATATAATTTTCTATAAGTCAAGAATTGACTTAACGTACAAGAAAAACTGTAGTCGTTTGGTGAAATCATGAGAAGATCAAACACCTTCGTATTGTACACTTCTCAATTGGCTTCATGATTTTCAATGGTGCAATTACAGTATTGAAGATGCTCTCCGAGCAATAATTGAAAGTGATTCTCATTCCATGTATATGAACATATAGAAAGCATCCTTGATATCTGCTCGTCAACGATTGGTTCAATTACTCACGACTATTTAAATTTACGCAAATTGGCGTTCAATGCATGGCTCATCAGCTAACTGGTGATCAAAAAAGAGTTGCGTATTCAATTTTTTCATCAGTCACTCAAACAATTCGACGAAGATCGATTCCATCGTATATTCGAGACTCTGACGAGTGATGAATCATATGATTCCATCATGATGGTCCGAGAACAAAAGTGCAATCAAACGAATGGTGATGATTTTCTTCATGAACTCTGATTTAATCAAGTATATACCATTAGACTCTGACGAGACTATAAATGCTAGTTGATATATCAATATCTGTCTACCCCAAGTCCTCATAAAGGTATCTGAATGAAGACAACGGATTGATCTTTGTGGTCTGATTTTTCATGACCATAACGCGAAACTCTATAGAGACTGAATACTAATGCTTTTTCGGCCCAAAAAACACATGAAACTATATCTAAATCCGTATAACTTTTTCTTGTTTCCGACGCTCAAAAAATAACAACTATATTGAACTTAATTCGACGACGACATTATAATGTTGGATGCGTTAGAACAAACTATCAACACTCTGACAAAGGATGATTTAAAAAACGGCCTTGACAACTGTTTTATTTGAATATACGTACATGTGTATTGAAACTCAAGGACAATACTTTGAAAAGACGCACTAGAACTAGTTTTTGATTATTTTTTTGAAGAACTGGTAAAGAAAAAACTTTTAAAGTGCCCTGCGGATATTTAACTGATACTAGTAAGAAATTCTTGATATCATACATAGAAATAATACTAATTTAAAATATGCAAATGACATTTTTACTAAAAAGTAAGTTATCAAGATAAAGAATATTTATTCTTTGTTGAAGCAATTTTTTGAATAATGATTCAAAAGGGATTATTTTCTCATCCTGGAATATGATTAATCTTCCTATGCTATAGAATATCATTAATCAAATTTAATAAATTACTTCGACCAATAAAAAAAATTAAACATTATTTCAATGAAGAACAATACTTACTAATATATATATATATACGCGATTTAATTGTTGTATTACTTTTACTGTTTATTAAATATAACCAAAATGTATATTTCTATTCAAACCGATTGTTATTCTATGCGAATATGTCTGATTTATAGTAGCATTATCTAATGCAGGAAAAAAAGCTCCAATGAAAAAAAAGCTCCACTGAGACGATAAAACGTCAACAACAAGAACATACCAAGTATATCTAGAGAAAAAGAACGCCAAGGACAAACAAGTGCAACAGAAGATTTGTCAGACAAAATATAACAAATATGAATGCCGTTAATGCATAAATAAATTATATGTTGAGTTAACGAACAGTACTGGAACTTTCTATATCACGTCAAGCCCTTTGATTCATCAAAACTCTATTTACTGTAAAATTCAGATGTAGTAAACTGCTTGCACATTCAGAAAAAAATTATTTTAATAGGTCAATAAGGATAAAATGTTTAAACGTCCTTATTCATTTCTTTTTTCTTTTCTTATTATAGCTTCTAGTGAATTTTCTTTCTTAAATAATGATTAATCAACCATAAAATCATGCTGCTACAATATAATAGTAATAATACTTTTCTTTCATTCACATGGTTGATTATAAACAGCAGTGCTTCAAAGACATTTATTCTTATTTGAGCAGCCTATTTTCGAGTACAGTTATACTCATGAAGTTATAGAATTGATTAATATGATTGGCGTTTTCTATAGAATCACACTTTGAATATGGGTAGCACAGTATTAAGACATTTTATTCCTTCAACTATATTTATAATCATCTAGTTCATATTATATCATAAACTCTACTTTTTGTCTTTTGGCTGATTATGCAGATAAATGTAATTGAGATTGAAACAGTGTTTTGCAATTCTATAATACAACATATTCTAAATATATAATTGGAAAAGCTTGTTTTTCTTGTTGATACGGTTTTATTGCATTTTCAAGTTTATTTCAGAATAGTGATGTGTTTAGACTGTCATTATGTATATGAATATTAACAAGTTGACTATCTTTATTTTGTTTTATACACTATAAACTTCGACAATTTTTTTTAATTTTGACATAGTGTCTTGTAAATGGTTTGGATTCCCGACACCCAACCTGGTAATTAATGAATATCTCGACGCTTCAAAATATTTTTACTTTTTCAAACTGCTAATTTATATACAAGCAGAGATGTGAAAATGTAAGCCATTTATTGCACTTAAGAACAGATCACAAAGTTGGAAGTCATTTTGTTTTGCTCACAGAATTCATTTTTTAATGAAAATTCATCTGTAGATGATGATAAACTATATGACGAAGTAATTGAGTACATGGAAAGAAAAATGAATGACAAAATAAGTCAACGCACATTATCGCGATTGAAAAAGCATTCATGCATGTATTCGAAATTATGATGTTTGGCACTAATAATGTGCTCCATTACAGTGTTATCAACAGTCACTTACTTTTTTTTTTGTAAAACTTAAGATGATGACATCTTTTTTGTTGTTATTTACGAAAGAAACTATATATCATACTTTGTTATGTTAAATAAAAATTTGACAATTGTACTGTAAAAGTATCTGATAGATGCAGATTAGCTTTGATCTGGTATCGAGTACAACTATGCAAGTCCGATTGCAAAAAGTTGTACCCGTGCAGGAGACTACTTCTAGTACATAAAGATATTGACTATTAAACGAAATATTTTGAACGAATGTTTTTCATAAAAAAATATTTATTCACACGATTAGGGGATGACGTGGGCAATTTTTCAAAACAAGGATGTGCTGCACCTTATCTGTGACTTTTAATTACAATATTAGAGTATAATGTATAGTTGTAGGTACTGATGAAATTTAAAATTAGAATTTGTTTTTTTTTTAAATAGTATAATGTATCGTATATGATACATACTTGTTTTTGATAAATTTTGCATCGGATTTTTTGATCATATACCAATTAATGTTCTATTTCTGTTGATTTTGCTAATCATACTCAAATTATCAAAACAAACATTTAAAAAGACGACAAATATCATCAAATAAAAAAGCAATCTAAATTGAATTAAACTAAAGAAAATACATATAGAACATTAAAGTGGTTCCGAAAAAAAGAACTCACTCGATCTCTCCTTCTAATTAACAGCAAATGAGATACAGTAGTCAGAAATACTGAAATGTATGTACTACAAAAATTATTTGTCTTTTTTTAATCAATAAAAGAAAAAAACAAAAATATTTTTATTTATTGTGTTTAATGTGACTTTCTTTTGTGAGTTCTTGTCCAAATCAATTAGTTCATCTTGTTTATAAAGCTTTTTTCGCATTATAGATTTCTCTTTAAGAGAGTTTTATAAAAATTATTTTGTGTCTTTCAAACTCAACTATATTCTCATGACAAGTATGACATATATCTGTCAATCAACATATAATCCAGTTATCATGATTACAAAAGTCCTTCAACCAAAGAATACTGGTATGCTGCGGGTTTATGGCATATCAGATGTTTTCTCATTTGTTAATAAGTAACATTTTGAAAATGCGAAATTCCCACAAAATTTTTTTCATGATGTCTATGTATGGTTGAATAGAGAACATCAAGTTACTTAGGAAAAAGTAGGTTTTTCCTTTGCTGATGATTTTTTTCCGAAGAAAATTATTCGAACAATGAATATTTTAATAACAGCTATTATTACTGTTTTTAAGAGATAAATAGATGTTTTGATTTTTAGTTTTTCTTTCTTTCAAATAAGTGAAAGTGTTCTTTTCTGATTGAACATATCAAATGGACTATAAATGCGTATGTTGTGAAAACAAAAGCGTTCAGTGATCTATGCTTTCCCATTATTCATTTTAAATAATGAATATCAAAAGTATCTTTTTGTCAATAAATGAATTGTTTTCAAATGCTTTCTTTACTAATATTATTGAGAATCGATATACTAAATAAGGAAACTTGAGCATCAGAAACAACCAGTATGATTAACGTGTCACATCGATGAGTAATATTTATGCATGTAATTATGAATAAACCTTTATAATTAATAGCAAAAGTAACAATGAATTGACGGATCGGTAGAATAAATGTTTCTCGAAGTATTTTCTAAATATCACCATCAATGCTTCTTGCCATACCTTGACGTTTTTTAAAAATATTTACAATTTAGGATAACGTTCCCGATTGAGTACATTGTATGCATGATATTTGCCCTCTTCGTACTATTTCTTCTGATCTTATGTATTGTCCTTATCTTTCTGTCCGTACTTTGACCATAATGCGGTACTTTGTCCTTATTATCTTTTTCTTTCATATTTTTCTGTTCTCTATGATGGTTACATGTATAAGCGTGTGCTTTGTATGTAAACGATGCGATTCTTGATATGAAGAAATACAATACAGCGTAATTCCATCAGCGCTAACTTTTCTTCTTTCCAAAAATCGTCACAATTAGGTTTCTTTAAGAAGTTATCACAAGTTTTCTTACAAAATGATAAGCAGAAATATTAAATAAATAATATTGTGAAACTTGAACATGTGCATTTTCCAAAAGTTGCTTTTTGTTTTTTAGAAAAACTCGGCATTCCTTTCAAGCGTTGTATAAGTGTAACAACATGATCGAATACTTTTAGAAGTATAACGAGGTGTACTCTTTAATATTATTAATTCTGACACTCCACATTTCTTATGTCAAAATTTTAGTTCTTAATTATCATCAATCCAATATTATCCAAACTCTATGACTCAGCAATTCAATACAATAAAAATCTATTGCATAAATTCTTTTTTTTAAAACAAAATAAAATTCATCAAATCAAAAAAGAAAAGACAATGCAATAAAAATAGTATCAAAAGGAAAAAATGGCGAAGTGAAAATGTCTTAAAGACTATTTTAAATACTGAAGAAAATATAAAAAAAAGCAAGATCTACTCATTGAGAATTATAAGATAAATAATAATATAATTTAAATTTATCTGTATTCTTTTCAAGGCCATCAATTATATGAGATAAATAACCAGAAACATTTTCAATTTTTTGTATTTCTTTTGCTTTTTGTAAAAACTCATGTTCTAATAATTGTTTATATTTTGGTCGTAGATTTTCATCTTTATTTAAACTAGAAAAAATTTTAAAACTAAATAAATCAAATTATTAAAGATTATTTTTTACCATGTATTTATAAATTTTTTACAATCATCAGAAAGACGATCAATTTTAAATTCTAATGAAGGTCCTTCAACAATTTGTTCTAATTGATCATATACTGATGTCCATTCTCGAAATGGAAAGTATCCTGTAGATATTTCATACTAAAAAAATAAATGAACAGATTGAGGTAACTTTTTTTTTGTACAATTAAATTATTTACAAGTGTTATTCCAAGTGACCAAACATCAGATCGAACGTCATAACCATCATGTGTCGCTCGTGTTGGATCAATACGTTCAGGCTTAAAAAAAAATAGAAAACTAACAGAGAATATTAACGATTGCTTTTTTGTTACTGGTAAATATGGACGGCAACCAGCATCACGTGTTTTAGCAATGGAATCAATTAATTGACCACTTATACCAAAATCACAAAGTTTTAATGTTGTTCTTGAAACTAAAATATTCGATGGTTTGACATCTCGATGTATAATTTCCCAACGAGATTTTATATAATCAAGTGCTTGTAATGTCTATGAAATAATTCAAATTAAAATAAAAACTATTAATACATTCTCAGTAGGACTAAAATGTGAGACATGATATAGTGTTGCGTTTAAAAATCACACAGAATTATTTTATTCTATGTATTTTGAAAAACATTTCTTCATCATCTTTTTACCTAATCTTTCAAAAATAGAATACTAGAATAGATCAAATGTTAGAGCGAGACGTTCTTGATATATGTTCTGCAATCAAATACTGCTATGCTTTGTGTTGATCTCTGACTGATATCTATCACAGTCTACGAAGAGTACAGCCAATAAGTTACAAAATTTTCGGATCCGGATCTTGTTGATAAAACTTCCCAGGATTCGGTCGAAATATACTTTGATACTCTCAATAAACTTTTTAATCGAAACTGGATAGTCATCCTGAAGATATGAGGTAATTTTTTGCATTTACTGACGAGTGCACTCTACATATTTCTTAGATGCCTAGAGCTCTTTGAATTCTAAATTCTCAGATTCCAATTCAATGGACTCTACTATAGGGTGAGTTCCAAACTTTTACTCTTATACTTCAAAATTTCTTTTATATTGTGTTTCACAAAATATTATAAAAAAATACAATAAAACCTTACAGCAAATGTTATATAAGCAAGAATACTTTCTGGTATAAATTGATCAAGTTTATGATAAACAAATTTATAAAAATGATCAAGTGATGTATTCATTAATTCCATACATATCCAACAATCTCCCTAAATGAATAAATAGATAGATATATATATATATCGAAACCAAATCTATTTAAAATTATAACTTCTTTAAATAGAGCACCATAAAATTGTACAATATGAGGACAAGTATTGTCACGCATAACAATATCTAATTCTTTGATCATTTGTTTTTGACACCGTTCATCAACAGTTGAACGAATACGCTGAATAAAATTGAAAAAAACATATTAAGATGAATATTACTAGCTACTTTAACAGCCATTATTGTTTCACTTTTGTCATGTATCATTTTACATACGATACCAAAATTTCCTTCTCCAATTACACCACAATCAATTAAATCATTCGACGTAAATTTATATGACTAATTAAGAAAAAATGTTATTATAATTCAACAAACAATCCAAAACAAACTTTTGTATTTGATAAACGTAGTTCTCCAGTACTAAGATCACGATGATTCAATGATGAATCCGGACGGCTACAATTAGATAGATAAGAGATTTTAGCGTATATACTTCTGTTCAATAAAGAAGGATGTGAACAAGAAATTGTTTGAATTCAATTGAAATTCATTAGGTTCAGACATGAGCGAGACTTACTTTGTTTTACATCGAGTCAAACAAAGAAGAATTTAGTCTTAGGAAAAAATCTCTTTAAATGATTAATAGTCTTTTTAAACGAGTCCTAACTGATTTACTGGGTACTGTTGAGATTAGAAAAGGTTCAAACGAATTTGTGTCAATGAGTCGTTTTTCTTGAATTAAATCTATTTTATCTAGACTTTAAAAAAAATACCATTATTATCTTCCCATCACTTTTAACATCAACGGTCGATATGAAGTTTTATACCATAAAGTTCTCAATGGAAGTAGTTCATTGTGAAAATATCTAACTGCTCTAGTATCTTCTATCGTCATATACCAATATTTAAAATTAAACTATCCAAAAAAAACAAACATTATTGTCACTATATAATCGAACATTGTTACAGTGAACAAAAAAGTCGATTTGAGATGGAAAATCGTATTTTGTTGAAAAACTCACTAAAATGGTTATAATTCAAGAAAAAAAGACCTATGATCATCAATCCATTTGGACTTGCTCGTATTAAGATAAGATTTGTTTCCACAGTGATTGATTATTTGAGAAGATTTTCTTGTTCATTCCACAAGTATTTACTGCGATACTACTGAAAACTAAAACTCATGGACTCTTTGACCTTACTCAAAAAAGAATCTAATTTTTATTTAAATTCATAGACTAACGAGAACCTTTATCAATTATACGCTAAGTTTTATGTTATACCTTTTTCCAAATAGTGAAATATAAAAATGACAAACCAAAGATTTATTCTACAATACCTAGATGCTTTATCGTATAGATAAACTTAGTCGTATGTCTACTAGCTTGATTGTATTTGTACAATTTCGTTTGTGTCAACACCACTTTCTCATATATTTTAATAGATTTTTCAGACAAAACAAGATCTTACATGATTGGATTAATATCCTCATTATTGGAATTCGATTTTTTTCTACTAGTTATTGATTCTGTTTGAAAATTAAATGGTTTTAATTCAAATGGTTTAAGTAATGGCCTGCTCACTAAAACAAAATAAACAACTGAAATATTGTTGTTGTGTTAGAAAAAGTATTACTTTTCTCTTAATATTTCAATGATTGAATTCCAAAAAAAGTGTAATTAAGTCTACATCTAAAAAAAGAAAAAAAAATATGACTCATGATTCAGTGGTTAATGCCATATGTTGATGTGTCAGAAAGAAGTAAATAAATGTAAGAGAACAATTGATTGGCCTTTTAAAATATGTTCAGAGGCGGCGCGAAGAAGTTGAAGCAGTGAGGTATCCAAAAATCGGAGAAAGTAGCCTAAAATTATATTTTTTCAAAATCGGAGGACACTGCTTAGTAATCTCTCTAAAGTAGGAGAAAATCTGAGCCAAAATTCTCAAAGCAGGTGGAGTACTTTTCCCCCGCTCGCGCTGCTCCTGAATATGTTAATTTTCTTTTTGTTCTTATGATTCATCATCGATGGTTTTTTAATAAAATCTGTTTCTATGACAAACATAAATATTTTTTTTTCATTCTAGTTTTAATCATCAAATTCATTGAAAAATAACAAATAGAATAGTTAAGAAAAAACAAACAGATTAAACAAAAAAAAAATCGTTTGATTTTATTTTAAAAAATGTTTATTATATAGATAATTAGATTGTTTTTTTGATAATATTCAACAAAACTATCGAATAAACAAGGCCAAGCTTCATTATCATCATAAGATTGATAACCATTTAATTGAATGAATTCTACAAATTGTGGAAATATTCTCCATGTATCATATGTAATAGTTTTAGAAATTTCATTATTTATATCATCTTCTAAATAATTTAACCATGAATCAAGTATTTTAGGTTTTTCAATATTTTTTGAATAAAATAAACGCCATAAACTTATAGCATGTTGTTTAATTAAACGATGTTGTTGTCCATCAATCAAGCTAAAATAATATATCCATATGTAAAATTCTTTTTCATAAGGTAAAACATTATAATTCATTAATGCTGTTCGAACATGTTTTATTAAAACTGATGAATGAGTATTTTGATTATATGACATGGATCTTTTATTTTTCTATAAGCAAATTTTTCAAGAAATTGCCCCATGAACACTATGATAAAAAATACAAATCCAATTTTCGAATGAATTATAGTCTAAGATCAATAATGATTTGATAACCATTGCTTGTTGATATCATATAACTAAACTAAATGATTTAAATTAATGAAAATTTACATTTTCATTTGTTTGATCTATTTTATCTAGGCATACATCCATCAACGTCGCTTTCTTTTTACTGGACAATATTTGATCAATAACATTTATTGTACAGCCATAAGAACAGTATCCAATCCTCTCAATTCTTCAGCTTGTTTCTCTCATTGCTTATTTTATAAACCAGTTATATTTTCAAAATAGTTTATATAACATAACAACTAAGGTTCAGAAGATCAATTTTACGTTTTTTTTTTTTTTTCTAAACTAAAACCTTTCTATTTTTTAGTATTACATAAAATAATTGTCTAAAAATAAGAGAAGAAAAATGTATTCTCGTTTCGTATTTCGATCAATTCAAGGTTCTACATCATCGTTAATTTTCAATCGTTTTCTTTCATTAACTCAAGTACAATTATCAGCAGCAGCTAAATTAAAAGAAAAACCATCATCTACAACAAAATCTGAAAAATCTGTTGCTAATACGGAAAAATTATCAACTTCACCACCAACAACAACAACGGCTAATGTATCATCAGAAGATAAAAAACCAATTCCACCGCCAACATCAGGCACCAATGATCCCAATAAAACTTATTCGGAAAGAATTCATCGACTTGTTGATGAAATAAGTAAATTATCATTAGTTGATGTTATGGATTTGAATGAATTATTAAAAGTAAATTTTTTTTTTTCTAAATAGAAAATTCGATCTATGACTTGTTTATTGTTTAGAAAACACTTAAAATTCAAGATATACCAATCATGGCATCCGGAGGAGTTAGTAGTGCATCAACACCAGCTGCACCTGTATGTAAAATAAATTCTATTGTTTGATTGATTATCGTTTTTGTTGTTTATATTTTAGAAGAAAGAAGAAGACGAAGAAGAAAGTGCTCGACCAACAGCACAATCAGTATTTAAAGTACGTTTGATTAAATTCGATGAAACAAAGAAAGTCCCGGTTATCAAACAAGTCAAAGATGTTGTTGAGAATATTAATCTTGTTCAAGTAAATATCAATGGATATTTTTTATTTTTGTTGAGTTTTCTAAAAATTTCTTTTTTCGATTTATTGTTTAGGCTAAAAAACTAGTTGAATCACTTCCTCAAGTTCTTCGCGATAATTTAAGCAAAGCTGATGCTGAAACAATGAAAGCTAAAATTGAAGCTGCTGGTGGTGTGTGTGTTGTTGAGTGAGAGAACTTTTATATCTCTCATTCTAGGCTAGTTTATTTCATTGTTCCTTTGTTAACTTTTGTTTTTTTTTGTAAAGAAAAAAAAAAAGAACAAAGAGGAAAATTTCATCTTTTTCTTTTGCATTTTTGTTGATATTCTACTAACAAGAAGAAAAATGATATTCGTGTAGAGTTTTGTTATTAACAAAAAACTTTTTCCTACTCGTTTTAGATTGAAGAAATGATGATTTTGGATATAGACGCAATGGTGACGGCACATCGTGCTATCGATGGCACCGATCCATTATTCAACGGTGTACTCTATTAAAAAAAAATGAAGAATAAGAAACCTTTACATTATCTATTTATTACCATTGGATAAATCCTTTTTGAATATATGAACAGAATAAAGTCTAAAGAGAAGGGTTTATTATTGTACGTTTTAAACACAAACGTAGAATACTAAACTCTATGCCTGAGGATTTATTCTGTTCATTTATCCAAAAAGGATTTAGGAACACGGAAAACACAACAAATGTATATAAATTTGCAGCTGTTCACAAATTTCTGTCAAGGTTTCTGAAAAAAAGGATTTATCTAATGATAATAAATGTATAATAAGGGATAATTCTTCATTTCTGTTAGTGTGGCAGTGATGCGCCGTACATCCAGTAATCTACTCCGCAGGTCTTACGTACACTTGGCACTGATCAAAACATGTACAAAATGAACCTAAGATCATCATAGTTTTACCACACTTTTGCTGTGTTCATCGTTATTCTTTACGTTCTTGTCTAGACTAGTACACCGGTGTTCATCGTCACCATTGCGTTCATAACTTGGATCGAAAGTAAACTTACAATGTGATTTCCTAATACATCTTTTGTTCGTTGAGAACATGGAGAAAATTTTCTAATTAATACTGGAAACATTTTTCAGAAAAAGCTTGATAACTAATGATTAAATTTAGAGAAAATTTATATTAATTCTCATCAAAGACTCAAGTGCATAACTTATGAGGAGTGTCATATCTCTTGTATTTTTGAAAAATTTTCACGTAGCGGTCTTTCCTTTTCCTTCAGTGCTGAGTTATATCTCTTCAAAAGATTCAATATCATAGTATTTTTTTTTTCTTTTTATACCTTACTTTATTTACAATTGCAGACATATTCTTAAAATTATATCTATTTCAGATTGAAATAAAGTTGTTTATCTCTCAAACGTAGGCAAATGGCTCTCACTAAACGTCTTCCACTTGCCACGTGTACGTTTAGGTTCTTTTTGTGTGTGTTCTTTGTATATTATGAATTAATTTTTTTTTTCGTATTTTAGTTCTTCAATTAAGTAGTCGACATTTAGCTACTCAAACAACACCAACACCTCCAGCAGCCAATCCACCTAAAGCTCAAGCACCAACACCACCTCCAGCTCCACCTCAAAAAGTTTCTTGAGAATATAAAGAAAATTTAAAAAAACTAATTTTCTCTTTATATTGATTTTTAGACGAAATTCGGTCCATTAAAAGATGAAGATCGTATTTTTACTAATCTTTATGGTCGACATGATTGGCATTTAAAAGGAGCTATAGCTCGAGTATGTTTTCATTAATATTTTTTGATGAAAATTTTTTTCTAAAATAAAAATTCTAAATAGGGTGATTGGCATAAAACGAAAGAAATTGTTCTAAAAGGATCACCTTGGATTATTGATGAAATAAAAAAGAGTGGATTACGTGGTCGAGGTGGTGCTGGTTTTCCATCCGGTTTAAAATGGAGTTTCATGATTAGACCTCCTGATGGTCGACCAAAATATTTAGTCATCAATGCTGATGAAGGTAAAAATAATGAATTTTATAAATATATATATACAGGTCATATTAGGCAAAATGGGACATATCCACTTTTTATTTTTTTTTCAAGGGTTATTTTTCTGAATGAGTTTTTTCTTTAGCTTAGATAGATGTAAAAACGTTAGCTCTTTCAGCTGACTGTTGATTCAAAAGTAATTAGCAAATATTTCCCTAATCATATGAGAGAAAAATCCGACAATTTCAGGATAGACTCTACGACAGGAATCACATTTGATTTTTGCAGAGTATCATCTAAAATCACTTAACATAGAAAAATTAGTATTACGAACATTCATTATCTTGAGATACATATGTTTTAATTTGTTCAATCAATGATTTTAAACTTTTACATATATATTTTTTCTTGTTTCTTTAGGTGAACCTGGAACATGTAAAGATCGAGAAATAATGCGTCATGATCCACATAAACTTATCGAAGGTTGTCTTATTGCTGGTCATGCTATGGGTGCACGTGCTGCTTATATTTATATTCGAGGAGAATTTTATAATGAAGGTTCAAATGTTCAAACAGCTATTCATGAAGTATTTTTTTGAAAAAAAAAAACGTAAATATTTAACTAGAGTATATCAATAAAATCAATTTTTAGGCATATAAAGCTGGTCTTATTGGCAAAAATGCATGTGGAACTGGTTATGATTTTGATATATTTGTTCATCGTGGTGCCGGTGCTTATATTTGTGGTGAAGAAACTGTAAGTGTTCGATTTAAAATAATTGAATTAACTATTTTTCTTTTGTTAGGCATTAATTGAATCATTAGAAGGTAAACAAGGTAAACCACGTTTGAAACCACCATTTCCAGCTGATATTGGTTTATTTGGTTGTCCAACAACTGTAACAAATGTTGAAACAGTTGCTGTTGCACCAGAAATATGTCGTCGTGGTGCTGATTGGTTTGCTTCATTTGGACGTGAACGAAATCGTGGAACTAAAGTTTGTCAATGTTCATACAAAAAAAAAAAAACTTGATTTGTTTAATTTCCTTTTTAATGTAGTTATTTTGTATAAGTGGACATGTGAATAAACCGGTAACAGTTGAAGAAGAAATGTCAGTACCATTAAAAGAACTTATTGAAAGACATGCTGGTGGTGTTCGAGGTGGTTGGGATAACTTATTAGCAATTATTCCTGGTGGATCATCTGTACCTTTAATACCAAAAAAGTAATAGATAAACACATGAAAAATAATAGTATTATTGAAATATTTTAGAATATGCGATGATGTTTTAATGGATTTTGATGCACTTGTTGCTGTGCAATCAGGTTTAGGTACAGCAGCGGTTATTGTTATGGATAAATCAACAGATGTTGTCAAGGCTATTGCTCGTCTTTCCGATTTTTATCAACATGAATCATGTGGACAAGTAATTAATTATATTTTACAAAAGAAAAACAAATATTTTATATTTATTTAGTGTACACCATGCCGTGAAGGAACTGGTTGGCTTGCTAAAATGATGAATCGATTTGGTAAAAAAAATAAAGAACCATGATGGATTTGGTGATCTATTTTGAACTAAGATACCATATATGTAGTTTGTAGAGAAATTTTGATTTTTTTAAGTTTAGATTATTTTCTAACTACATCATATTCGAGTGTATTCAACTCTATGCCACTGAACAAATGAGTAACAATTTGAAACATTCTCAAAAATTGTGTACTATCGATCTATATATGTTTTACAGATAGTATCTTTCGAAATAGCAAGGACTCATTATCCCTTGGAATAGCCTATTTCTCTATATGTAGTATCCCTGATGAACTATTATAAATAACTCTCTTATCAACGGGAAAATCTTTTTTGGTCTCTCGTTATCTAAAAGAGGATATGACATATGAAAAGAATTATCTTTGAAATGAACATAAGATATTTATAAACTCTCTTAGAGTTCTACGTTTAAGTCAAACATTTATACTATGAATAAAAGTTTGAACAAAAAATACTAAAAATAACAGATCACCTTTTTGTAATTTCTGGGAAGCCGGAGGCTAAAAAAGAATTTTCCATTCATACAGGAGCTATTTATATCAGTTCATCAGAGCTGTTATGGTGATTGCTGATATACAAAAACTTTTAATAGAACATTAAGTTTTATTAAAATATCGTAAATATACCCGGTTTCTTTACGTAGGAGAATAAGCTATTTCAAGGAACAATCGTGCAAGATGACAATAAGTTCCTGCTATTCAGAAAGATATTATCTGTGAAACATATAATACTCAATAGTGTACAATTTTTGAAAATCTTTCACATTGATAATCACTTGTTCTGTAGTATAGAGTTGAGCACAATAGAATATCATATAGTCAAGAAATAATCTAAACGTGTAAAAAGGAACCATATTTAGATACGAAGAAAGCAATGATGAAAACTATTGGTAATAAGATATTGAAAAGCACCTATAACTGTATCGAATTGAGTTTAAAAACAAAAATGTGCATAAGTTTATCTAAGAATATCTAACAAACAACAATGCTTATGAGTACCATATATATATTTCTGAAGGATTATAACAAATATAAAATCGATCAGCACATCAAAATTTGAACAAAACTTGACTTCTTATATACCATTCAGTGCGCTATAAATTATTCTAGAAAATTATATATATTGTATCCTAGTTTAAGATAGATCACCAAATCCGATGAGCTCCTTTCATTTGATTTATTTATTTTTTGTCTTTTTGTTATTTAGTAACTGGCAATGCTCGTCCAGCTGAAATCGATATGATTTGGGAATTATCAAAACAAATTGAAGGACATACAATTTGTGCTTTAGGTGATGCTGCTGCATGGCCTGTTCAAGTAAATTTTTGAAAAACAAAAAACAAAATCTATTTAAGTTATATTAAAATATTATTTCCTAGGGTCTTATACGACATTTTCGACCAGAAATGGAACGTCGTATGGCTGAATATGCTGCCAAAAATAGTGATGCAAAGACAATTAGTACTAGTGCTCATTGAACCTATTAAATACTCTTGTTTGTCCTATTTATCTTTTTCTTTTCTTTTATTGTACAGAGTATTTCTAGATAGAACATTTCTTTTTTTCCCATATACAACCAAATAAAATTCATAAGAAATACAAATAAAAATTTTATTTTTAAATCAAAAACTTTTCGTACTATTTGATGTTTGTGTAAAAATTTTTGGATCCACAGCAACAATAACATTAAGAACAATATTAATTATATTTATAAAAACAGATAATATAAGAGAAAAATTATTTAATGATACTAAACGATGTTGTCGACGTTCTTTTCCTAAATCATCTGTACCTAATAGAATCAAAATACAAGCATTTAGAAGTTGAAAACCTAATGAACCACAAACAAGTCCTAATCCAACCCACCAAAGTGTATCTTTATGATCTTTATTACCAAGTAGAGTTTTTAATTGTACAGCATTTGTTGCAAGTAATGCAACTTCTAAATTACTAATAGCTAAAGTTTTTTTTGTTGCATATTGATTAACTGTAGTTTTTCCATGATCTAATGTATTTGGAGGATCGATGCTTTCTTGAAAAGACATTTTATGTTGTGACATTCTAGATGAAATAAGAAGATTCGAATTAATCAAATACTATTTTTGTAATTTTAAACATACAGTTTGTTGATAGAAAAAAGATTTTTTATAAACGTTATTTCTTCTGTTGTTGTTTCTTGTAGGTTAAATAATTTAGATGCAAAAAGAGAGAGAGAGAGAGAAAAAAAAATACTTGTGATACTCAACAATTAATAATTCTAAACAAATAAATGATAAGATAGTCTTCTTGACTATTGCTGTAAAATAAGAGAATAAAGCAACAAAAAAAAAGATCCTTTTACATAACAAGTATTTATATGTGAAAGTAATATTCAAAAAAAAAAGAAAAGTTGAATGTTTTTCTTCTTTCTTGTACACATAATTTTATATCTGTATGAGAAAGATCCTTATTATGAAAACTTGCATCTAGTCTTTTAAATAAGAAAGAACAAAAAGACGGATATCAATACCAATTTTTTTTATCCCTTTCTTTTTATCGTACCATATTTTGATTGTTTATTTGTGAATCACATGTTGTATTTTTTATTAACTTTCAAGTGTTGACAATCTAAATATAACACAATACTTATCTTAATCTTGTTATTTTGTTTTTCGTTAGCGTTTATTTGCTTGATATACAGTAAAACCTCTGATAATGGACATCTCACTATAGTGGACACTTTTATATAGTTCTATGGTGAATATCTTTGAAAATTCCAAATATTGTCCACTCGAGTAAGGTCATATTGTGTTATGATTGTATTTAAAATTAAACAGAGCGATGAAAAATAGATCAATATTATAAAACATTTATGGTGATCGGACAATTCGCCGTGAATGTATGGATACAAGTATAGGTATGATTGAAGATCTTTTGTGTACTTACACTAACATCCACACACTCATCTACAGTTACCCTCACTCAGACACTTTCAATATTCCTTCAGGATACTTTAATAATAACATCTAATTTGATGAATCATGCAAGCACAACTTAAATGTCTTTAAGTTTTTGATAACTTTCATATTTCTATTCATCTATTTTTTCAATAATGATAATAAAAAAGAAAATGATTGAATGTATTCATTATCATTAACATGAATGTCTCCAAGAAAATTTGGAATTTAAAAATTTGAATTGGCTAATAGATATTCTTACATGAGGGTGGGTGTTTAAAATAGACAAAAGGAAATAAGTTTACTTTAATCACATTTATTGTAGCGCCTTCATCATCACGCAGTGCTACGCATGTGCATATATTAGGTCAATAGGTGCGAAATGTGAGATTACAGTGCACTTGTGCTAGTGTATATTATTAAACAATAGATCTCTTCATGTTGTTAAATGACTTCAATCTGCTAGCAAATAATGCACGGAGAATAAAATTAAAGTTCTTTATAGTGCATTAAAGAAGAAATACTAATATTTTTAAGTATTCTCTTCGAAGATTTGTTCATTAATTATAAAGAAACTTGTTTCAATATTTTAAATGCAGTATGAATTATTAAAATGACAACTATTCAGAATAAAAATAAATAAAATATCAAAAACAATAAATAAATCATAATTTTCATTTTTTCTGAAGCAAAAACTTTATTGATTCTTCTTCTTCTATCTACAGGCAAAGCTGAATAAAAACATGATCCGATTTCTTTATACAATTTAGTGAATTATTCCACTTGCATTATAATTTGAACTTTTGCTTTATGATAAATGAGTGTCAAATGAACAATGTAGTGAATATAAAGAGTACCATTATTTATATTGAAAATCTTTTTTTTTTTTCTCCAATAAAATAGATCCCTGGGAAAAAAACCAACGTTTCGTCTATCAATGACAACTGTAAAATTAATATAAAGATAATGGAAAATTTTATTAGTATCATAAAAATTTCTAGTTTTATTACCGTTTACTGATCAGATGGAAATATTAGTTAGATTACAATTGAACAGCTTTAAAACTTTCAGTATATAAAATATGTACCCATTCAGAGTTTGCTAATTATCATTGAAATATTTATTGACGAATAAAATCAACAAAGATTAAAATTTTTGTATTTTCCTCCATGGTACGATTAGATAAGACGCACGATATTCCTTCAGTCGTAATTTACGGTCGTCATTAATCATATGGAAACAAGTCGGGTGCTCAAATTTGATAAGCAATATCACGAGTTGTAGTTATAATAACAAAGAAAAGAAAAACAAGAAGAATTGCGTTTGACCTCGAATGACGATATCCACATTGTGTATTTCTGTATGTTTGTAAGCAATAACGAATGTAGGAAGGTGGATGCGGGAGGCAATTCCCCATTTCTTCCCAAAATATTTTTCTATTTTTTTATAGCAGAAAACACAAGAATGAACCAATAGAACATCTAATCGACCTTAAAATACCTTTTGTGACTATGATCGCCTCCTTTCTCAATACACTAGATCCGCCACTGGCATCCATTGATCTGCGGGAATAATGTAGAACAGAGTCTATCTGGTTGTTCCAGGATCTGACAGAGTCCTGATTTGAATTTTTTCTGTTAACTGAATCCAGTTCCGAAAATTTTCGACTCAACAATCTCTAATGTAGAATCTCACGGTTATAGATAAATCCATAATCATATTTTGACATTAATACAAATAATGAAACAAAAACTAATGTAGATTGTACTCCAATGTATGTATATAGAAGATATTATAATATCGATCAGAATATTGAAGCATTTTCTTTATCTATGTGAACCTATTAATTATGTTTTATGGACTTCTATTATCGTCAATAAAATCATCGTATCAGATAACAGTTTCTCTTTCTTGTGAATAGTTTTAGTGACATATTTATTGTTGAATCCTTGTAAAACAATACAAGATTTTTTAAGTGATATTAATCTTCAAAACTTATGTATTCAAAAGGGTTTAGAATACATCATTTGTGACATTCGTTACTCTCTCGATATTGGTATAAGCTAATAGTATTGATTATTATGTTATGACCAAGATATGAAAGATTACTGAAATCTACGATTTGAGAATAGTCAATTAGATAATTTCTCTGTCAAATTTCTGTATACCCGATTTTTTTTTATCTCTCGAAATAGAATCTTGTAAATTCCATTAGATGACACATTATTTATTTTCTTTTTTCTTCAAATCAAGATAATCTTAATCAATTTTTTGGCATTTACATGATGCTCAAATTGATTATTCTTTCAATTATAATTCCGAAGCATTTAATTCTACAATGCATTACTTATCAAAATATTTATGATTAATTAAATAATTGAATTAATATAAATGATTCAACTTGAAATAGACGCCTATCACATCACAATGAAATATATTATTTGCAATAGATATTAATATCCTTTATTTTCGATTTGTATCAAATTGCGACGCAGTTATAATGTAAGTGTGATTGTATTTCAATCGTAATTGCGAAAAATTACGACGTAGTTATAAGTAACGACGATTCTTTTATCGTAACCAGGTATAATTTGGTCGCAATTTTTTACAGTGACAATTAAGATGCGACGCAATTACAACATAGCTACGTTGCAATTGCTGAAAAAGAGACGACATCGGATAAAATAAAAATAGATATAATACAAATATTAAATCAAACAAGATTTCAGAATAAAAAAAAACATTTCAATTAAATCAAGGAAAAATATTTATTAAGAATAATCTTTTAACAAATTCAGGTAAGCGTTTTCAATAGAATATCAGTACGAGTAAAAACTTATATTATATTAAATCTTTTCGAGAATTATAAAATATTGAACCATTTGTAGGAAAAAAATGGATACAGAATCTTTGTTTATATTAAATGGACTCAGCTTAGTTCAGATTGTGATACTCATTTATTTGAATTAAGTTGATAAACTTCTAGAAAAACATAATAATGAAATAATTCAATTTAAAATATTGAGCAAGTGAAATATATCAACGTATCATCATTATTATTAAACAAGACTGTCCTGAACTCGTTAGGATTGAAGAAGGGACCGATAACTCTGAAGTAGTACTCACAGTCACCGTTTTTTTTTGATTACAGTCATTTGTTCTAGTTTATCATCAGTGGTGATCTCTTTTCTTGAACGACACTGATTGTAACGAAGATTAGATAAAAACCAAAACAAATAAAATGATTAGATTATTAATCCAAAAATTAGAAAACTATATTCTTAATTATTTCAATTCAGTTTAATGGAATAGTAACGTGTACATATGTATATTCGTTTAATTGTATTTGTAACAACATATATACTTCGATTATGTTTTGAGTTTGTTGTAATATTTGTATTGCAGAAAAAATTAGAATTCAAGAAAATCAAAAATTTCACCGGACTGCAATAAGTTAAGATTATGAATATTATTTGTGGTATAGAAAAACTAATGCTGAAAATACAGAAACAAAATATATGACTGTTCGTGATCGTGAGTTA